CATTGTCCCACCGCCGTCCTCGCCACCGCCTTTACCAGTGTCCCCACCACCATTGTACCCTCCACTGTCCCAGTGTTTCCACCTCATTCCCACTGTCCCCACACCACTGTCCCCACCACCACCGTTCCCACCACTGTCCACTGTCCCCCCTGTTCCCACCATTGTCCCCACCACTGTCCCCACCACTACCGTCCCCACCACTGTCCCACTGTCCCCCCACTGTCCCCACCACTGTCCCGCTGTCCCCTCACCACTGTCCCCACCAACACCGTCCCCACCACTGTCCGCACCCCCACTCGGTTTTCGAGGGGGGGGGGGGGGGTTCGAACCGGTAGTGACCCCCCCCCCTTTTCATGATGAGCTGGGGGGGGGGGGGGGAGGGGTTCGAACCGGTAGTGACCCCCCCCGGTTTTCCGGAGGGGGGGGGGGGGGAGGGGTTCGAACCGGTAGTGACCCCCCCCGGTTTTCCGCCAGCAGCGGTAGAACACGCTCTTTCTTATATACAAGTGTACGTAAATAAATATGTATAGGTCTAATCATCCTCGCTCCCTCCCCCTATCCCCACTACCCCTGCCCGCCGTTCTGCCCTCCAAGTAAGATGTTTTACTTCCGCATCCTTCCGCCAACCTTCCGCCAGACGAAGAGATGACAATTGTTGTAACTTTTGGCGACAAGGGGGTTCCGAAATCCTTATATACATATATAAAGAGCATCGCGCGCGCTTCGAGCGCGCTCAAGTTCTAGCTAGGCTTGGTAGACTAACTCATGTAATATCATGTTGGTCGCTTCTTGCGTCCAGGGACTCCCTTGGAGGCCCTGCGCAAGCCTCGGAATCGTATAGAAGGGGAAGTGCGGAAACGCAGAAATCATTTATTCCCTTTAGGTATTCAACGATTTGGGGCCCTCAAAGGCTTCCTGGGTTTTTTGGGAGGCCAGGGGGGTCTGAATTGTGGTCTGTTGTGCAAGAGTAGACCGGGGGCCAAACTTGGAGAAAAAAAAGGAATTGTGGGATTTCCAATTTTTTCCATTCCTCGGCGCTGTTCGGCGCTGTTTTTTCTTTGTGCCTCGCGGGTCTTGTTAGCCGGGCCCCTCAAGGGTGTGGGATCTTCCGGACCCCCTGGGGGTTCTGGAGGCCTCCTGGAGGCCTGGAGAGCCGTCGGAAGTGTGTCTCGGGCTGTGCGGGAGCGTGTGGGCCGTTCTTTACGTTCTGGGGGCTCCTTGGGGTCGTCTTGGCCTGTCCTTGGGGGTCTTGGGGGCCCCCAAAGAAGCCGGGAGGCGCGGCACTGGCCAGATGTCAGGGGATGTGTAGGACCCCCGAGTAGAAGTTCCACTTTGAAAAAAAGAGAGGGAATTCTTGGAATTCCCTCTTTTCTTGTTCTTCTCAAAATCCTCGATCTTTGAGGGTTGGAAGCGGGAAAGCGTGAGAAGGCGAAAAACATTGGAAAAACCATTGGGAATCAACGATTTTACCCTACCCTCTTTGGACTCTCTCGGGACGGCTCTCGCAGCTCTCTTGGGCTGTTCTTGGAGCCTCGTCGGGGTCTTTTTGGGGCCTCTCAGGGATCGGGAGTATGTTGGGGGCCTCTGGGTGGTCCCGGAGGCCTCTCGGAGGTTTCTGGAAACCTCCTGCTCCCCGCTCTTGGACCCATCTTGGGCCTGTTATGGGGTGGTCTGGGGCTGTCCTGGGCGCCTCTTCGGCAGTCTTGGAGCCTTCTTGGCCCGTCTTGGGGCCGTCCTGAGGGTCTCTTGGGTGGTCTTGGGGCGGTCTTGGGAGCCTCCTCGGCGCTTTTGGACCGTTGCAAGCTCGAAAACGCGAGAAGCCAAAAACATGCAAAAAACATATGAAAATCTACGATTTGGGCTTCTTCGGGCCGTCCCAGGACGCCTCTCGGACCTCTCTTGGTGTCTCTTGGAGGCCACCTGGGAGCCTCGAGAGCCGTCGGAAAGCTGACTTGGGCTCCTTGGGAGCGTCTTGAGCCATCCTTTCGCATTCTGCGGGCTCCTGGGAGGCGTCTTGGGCCCTTCTGGAGCGCTGTGGAGGCTCCCCAGAAAGGCTGGGGGAGCGGTACCGGGAGCGTCCCCGAGATGTCACGGGGAGGTGTGGGACCCGGGGCTTGGAGGGGGCGGCATTTTCATACATATATATATATATATGTATACATATATACTTACATACACACACATACATACATACATACATACATACATACATACATACATACATACATACATACATACATACATACAGACATACATACATACATACACACATACATACATACCTATACATATACATATACATGTACACATGCATATACATATACATATACATATACATATACATATAATATACATATACATATACATAGACATATACATATACATATATAAATACACAGATACATATACATATACATATACATATGCATACACATATACATATACATATACATATACATATACATACACACATGCACATACACACACATACACATGTACATATGCATATATATACATATACTTATACATATACATACACATACACAGTCATATATACATACACATATACATATACATATACATATACATATACATATACACATACACATACACACATATATATACACATACATACATACATACATACATACATACATACATACATACATACATACACACATAAACACGTAAATACATACATACATACATACATACGTACGTACGTACGTACGTACGTACATTCATACATACATACACATACATACACATACATGCACATACATACTCATACATACTCATACATACACATACATACACATACAAACACATACATACACATACGTACACATACATACACATACATACATACATACGTACATACGTACGTACGTACGTACGTACATTCATACATACATACATAATTGCATGCATGCATGCATGCATGCATGCATGCATGCATACATACATACATACACACGTATTCATATATGTGTATATATTTATGCATTCACGCACACGCACACACACACACCACACACCCGCCACCGTGCCTTCAGCATGTAGTGGAATGCCCCACGGCTCAGGCTCGTGCAGCCCTGAGGTGCAGACGGGTTGCAAAGCTCTGAAGGACACGGGCCCCCCCCGTTTTCCAGCCGCTCCTAAGAGCTTCCGGGAGCTCTCGGGAGCCCTTGGGAGCTCCTGGGAGATCTTGGCAGCTCACCGGAAACCCTCGAGCATGTTGCAAGACTCGCCTCGACTGGCCAAAAGGGGCCCCGGAGCGGTGCAAGACCGCTTCACTGTGTCCCATGTGGCTCCCAGACTGCCTGAGGGGCCCACAGGCCGCCCGATCGCTCGATGGCGACCCTGGGTGCGCGGAAGCCGCTCCCGGAGGCCGAGCCAAGACAGGAAGGGAGGTGAAATTCAAAAGCCAGTCCGCCCGAGGTTCGGATTCTCCAGCACGACCGGAAATCGGCGGTGGACAAACCTCCCTTTCGTAGACCTCCCCTTGGTGAAAACGGCCTGGGACCGAAACCGACGGACCTGGACCCGCAAAAATGACGGCCGCGACGCCCTCTCGCGGACCGAAAACGGCCAATTCCTTGATCGACGTGTCAGGGTAGGAGGTCTGTCCATCCCCGAGGAAAGCTCCCGGTGTCGTCCGGAGGTGGCTTGGGCCCAGGGCTGCACCCGCTCTCCCGGGGAGGCCAGAGCTGACCTCCTTCAGAGCAGCCCTCACCGAGGCCCCACAGGGACTCCATGGCACGGAAAGCTTGAGGCGCCTCGGACCACGAGCACCTCAGACAAGACCCGAAAGCTTCGGAGGGCTCTTTGGGGTCATTGCCCTGACTCCCTCCTTCCAGTCCTCCCTGATCCTCCCACCTCTAGAAGGAGAGAAGGCAGGAAGGGGGGAAGGAGGAGGAGGAGGAGGAGGAAGAGAAGGATGAGGAGGAAGAGGAAGAGGAGACGAGCGTACGGAGTGGAAACGGAGGAGGACGAGAAGAGGAGGAGGAGGAGGAGGAGGAAGAGGAATCATAATAAGAAGAACACGAATAATAATAGCAATACTTATAGCAATAGCAATCACTGTCTAAATACGAATGCTAATCATAAGAATAAGAATGCGAAGAAGAAGAAGAAGAAGAAGAACACCTCTCTGGCCCTGTACCCGCCGAACTTCGGTTGATTGTCAAACTCAACATTGTGTCGGTAACGCACCCAAAACGATACGAAACAATATGGCAGACATGTTCACCTCAGAAAAATAGGTCGCTTACTTCTGCAAAGGTATGGCCGGTACAGCGACGACAAAGTCGGGCGGAAATCGGCATCAAAGGAACTTGGAACGCATGGCGGAGATGTCCGCTCTACTCACGAGATCGCCCAGAGTACGGCGGATCCAGAGTCAGGTAGGTGGCGACATCGGAACCCTGCAGTAAGTTCGCGCGGTGTCGGCACGCGTGAAGGTTTTTGACACCGCGTCGATCGTTCAACCCTGAATCGATCGCGGCCCCGATCGTTCAAGGTTGAATTCCGTCGGGTCCGGTGGCGTCACCGTGTCCCTCGGTACTTCCGCGTCGCAGAATTCAACCTTGAACGCCTTCGCCGGCGTCGCCGGCGCGCCATCGCCGCATGAGCCTACCGTACCCCCACCAACCACTGATTCTCCTGAATCGATAGGAGACGGGGGTGTAGGACTCGGATGTCGCCACGTGTTCGACGAGTTCCGAACCCTACTGCCCCCGCCGCCTATCGAGATGCCTGAAACGTTGATCGGCGAGGGTCGGGTTCGGAATTCGCCGCCGATCAGGGCTGCAGCAACCCCCGAACTGGCAATCGCTCGGACGTCCACTTCCCGTGCACGTTTCGGTTTCGCGAGTAAAGATGACCCAAGATGCTCCTCGATGGCCCCCGCCGAGAAACAAAATCACACTTCCGAGCGATGCCAAGCAAAACGCTGGGAGGGGGTTCGCTGCGCTTTCTGCGGCTTCCTGCGGGCTTGCCTCTGCGGGCACCCTCGGCGCGCGGCGCTGCCCGGCGCCCACGGCACTCCACGCGAGGTTGTACTTCGCGGCCAGCCTGGGCTGTGAGATCCCACGAGGAGCAATCCAAGCTTGTGTACTCCAGATTTCGTAATAAAAGGGAGGGGGTCTGGACCCTCCAAGACAAGCCATTTCAGACCTCCCCCGTGGGAGAACCCTCCAAAACATCGTCCCCAGACCCCCCAGGCCCTCCAAGATAGCCTGGAAGAGACCCCCCCCCCGAAATGAGACCCCCCTCCTTTTATTACGAAATCTGGTGTACGGCAAGTTCGTGTCGTGCCCACCTCGGCGTTGGCTCCTGCCACTGCGGGGATCGTTCAACCTTGAGCGATCGGCCGCTTCCGAAACGTCAGGTCGTGCAACATCGACCGTTTCTTGGTCGGCGGCGACGTTCAACCTGGAACGCCGGCGGCGGGGTCGCCGCCAGCCGACACGATGCAAACCTACCGTATGCCTATTCACGGTGAAAGCATGGGACAATGACCTTGCCAGTCAACCACAAGCCTATTTTTTTTTTCTGGAAGGGGTGCAAGGCCACGGAATGAAAGCGATGCGCTTGCAATCAGAACTGTCAAGCTGTTCGAGAATGTGATCTAAAGCCTCGTGCCAATCAAGTGTGCCTCGACTGCAACGACCTAGAAGATGCACGCCGTGGCCTTCATACAAAGTCTGCTTCCCGCGTCTCGTCACACCAAGTCTGAAATCGTGTTGGTATACGTGCACTCCTCGAGGGCTGTACAATGCCAACAGAAGCTCATCAAATGCGGGCTTCGACCGGGCCCCTTCGAGTGCGAATTTGACGTGCATGAAGCGGAACTCCCAACGATGTTTGTTTCTGTTCCAGCACAGCTGCGCACTTTTACATTCGATACGTTTACCATTTCTTTCCCAATCGTACACAGCGGAGTTTTTACCTCGAAGCTGCCCGTTGATACAGAGCCCATCCTGCGGATCGGACAGAACCTCGTTTGGATGAATCATGCGATCAAGTTGGCGAACCATATCTTCCAAACAATCACCCCGCGTCTTGTTGCTGTAGCTCGACAGCGGGACATCTTCATATGCTTGTGCCATCTCAAAACGCGGGCAAACTGCAAGAGCCTCTGTAATCCGATGGTCGGAAAGTGGAACATCTGCTATGCGTCGGCATGAATTGGAGGGCTCGTCGAGCTTGCGAAGTATGTCGCAAATTCCTCTTGACCAGCACGACGAACCACTACTACTTGAGATCTGGATTTGATATCCTGATGTATGTGTTCGGACACCACGAGCTCCAACTGCGAAAGACAAATCATGCTCGTACACGTACACTCTGTCTGGGCAGTACAACACCAGCACCAGCCTGTCGAAATCGTGGCCACGAGGCTCTTGCTCCATTACAAACTTCACACCCGAAAACGAAAATCTCCACGTACTAGTACGCTGTACATATGACAACCTCGCGTGTTTACATTGAACGCGACGTCCGCCGTGCATCCAGCAAAATCGGCCAGGGCCGCCTGACATCTCATTTCCTTGAAACGAAGGATCCTGATCGCACAATATGCCTCGCGCCACTCTTGCCAAGACTTCGGCGCGCTGTCTGCTCGGAAGCGTTGCTAATGGAGCTCGCAGATAAATATTTGAGCACTCTGTATCTCGGTACCTCCTCAGAATGTCGGAGAATGCGCTTGCAGGCACCAGGGAAGCCGCACGGCCTCGCAAGGTAGGCCAGCTTGGCAGTGAGCCGGCAAGCCCCAGAAGCATAAATACAGGGGAGGCATCACATGATCAAGGCGCACGTGCCGAGCCCGGCTAATGCAGCGAGCCGTGTGCGTCGACCAGAACGACGTGAACCAGCATGGCGTCAGGCAGCATGGTTTGGGCCAAGCTTGCCTTGAGCCAAAATGGCTACGGAACCACAAGCCTATTTATTGATCCAGGTCCGCGCCTTTCCCACTCCACTAGCCCTGAATACGTTCGCCCTTGCGTACGAGTGCGCGGCCAAAATCAGAGTCCGACGTCGAGAACCCCGATCGCACTATTCCCGAAGCAGCTCGTCTGTAAGAGGCCCGCAGAACTTGTCTTGATCCGTATTGCTGCAGTGACAGGTATGCACCTGTAAAGCCTAATGAACGGCCTGCCAGATCCAAAATCGGTGTGGCGACGTTTCCTCGCATTGCCTCCCGCGGCCTCCCGCGGCCTCCCGTGGCCTCCCGCGGCTTCCCGCGGCCTCCCGCGGCCTCCCGCGGCCTCCCGCGGCCTCCCGCGGCCTCGCGTGGCCTCCCGTGGCCTCCCGCGGCCTCCCTATGTCCATGCATCCCTGCCCCCCCTTAAATCCTATACCCCAAAATCTCGCTATAATGCCGTTATTTTCTGGGGGGTCGACGATTACTTGTGTCTGTGTGTGTTCCTTTCCCTCCTGACAACATGTATACACTATAGTACCCGCATCCCGATATCCCCCCGCCGTGGCCCTCCCTCCTATCGCGTCCTCCCGTCGTGGACCCCCCGATAACTGGCTGCCGTCGTGTCTGTGCACAAAGCTGTTTCGGGTCTTCTGAAGAGGCCCTGGGACACACACATAAATACACACAAATAAAAATATGCCCCATGTTTTCCCCTATTTTCTGGGCTTCTGTCTTCCCCCACACTTCCCATATTTTCCCATCTTTTCTGGGGAATCGACGATTAATTGTGTCTGTGTGTTTTTTCCCTCCTGATCTTCTGCCGCAAGGGTGTATTTTTCTCTGCGCGGGGCAAGGCGAATGCACCGCAGGCACGCCAAGACGCAGGGTTCAGAACAAGGTGGTCGTCTGCGTGTTAGAGTAGGCGCCGCGAGCATCGTTGTTGTGTGTCCTGTGCAGGCACACCTGCCCGATATGGGGTCGTGAAACGATGTCAAAACACGCGGTGGATTCCTGCGCTTCGGGGGGCCGTCGGCTCTGTGGTGCAAGCTGCGCGGTGCAACTTGTGTGTGGCTCAAGCTATGCGGTGCCATGCATGTTGTGGAAGCTCTGTGGTGCAAGCTCCCTGGTGCTGAACCCAGAGATGCGACGTCCTGATTTTTTCAGGACGGTGTCCCTGGAAGTCCCGACCCTTTGCCCGGGGCTGGTTTTTCATCCTGAGTCGTTTTTTGACGGCCCCGAGGCCCGGCGAGGGCCCCCCAGGGCCGAAAATGGCCAAAAACCTCCCGTCCTGATTTTTTTACGACGCGATCATGTCTGGGAAGGCAGCACAAGAGGCACCCCATCCCCACGAGACGCCCACGGCCAGCGACCGGGCGCACAAAAACCAGGAGCCCTGGCGCTCGCACACGAGGCGCCCACGGGGCGCCGACGGGCGGCGGCCGGGCGGAAACACCGAGGAACATGCCACTCATGAAGGGGCCCCAGGACACACAAATAAATACACACAAATAAAATAATGCCCCATATTTTACCATATTTTCTGGGCTTCTGTCTTCCCCCCCACTTCCCATATTTTCCCATATTTTCTGGTGAATCGAGGATTCATTGTGTCTGTGTGTTTCTTTCCCTCCTGAACTTACACAGACAAGAAATACAGTCGGGGCGTTGACCTAAGGAACCCTAAATAAGGAGCGAGGCCCCTTTTTTCCCAGAAGTTGAACCTCGGCTTCCCATCGAAACCCCAAGCAAAACCAGAGGCGAACTGCAAAACAACTGAGGAACACCGAGCCCCTCCCCAACGAAAAGGGTTCCTTCCTCAGCGCCCCGACTGTACGTCGCCGCGCCCAGGTGGACGACGCAAGCACCACTGCAAACCCTGCGCCCCGCGCCCCGCAGTGCCAGCTTCGTCGATGGACGAAGCCGGCGCCCGGCAGGCCCCACGGCGAGCCCACGGCGTCTGAGGTGGGGCTCGCTCTGGTGCCCGGGGCGCCCTCGCAGAGACGTGAGGCCGCGCGTCGAAACAAGGGGCGCGGCGACATATGCAAGAGCACCTAAGTTGGGCAGAAAAGGAAGGGAGGGGCGCACTTCCTCACACTTGTCGACGACCCCAGCGCGGCCCACGATTTCAAAAAGTAGGGTCGGAACGCACCCGTCGTTTCATTGCGATGGGGTGAAGCGAAAGGAACTTCAAAACATGGTGGCGGCTGGCGATGCATCGCCGATATGGCAAGACTGCACTTCTTACATCCTGGCCTCAACGGCAAGTCGATGTGTGGGCTTCAGTGGCCAAGCATTATCATTAGGTCGGGCATGTCCCCCTACAGGCGGATCTTGGACGAAAAACAAACGATAGCTAAACAATGCCCCAAAATTGTCAAAAAATGCCCCCCAAATTCGTCCCCCGACTATTCCATCTCCTATGTTTGAATACTCCTCCTGTAGAGGGACAGGCCCGACTTAACATTACCAAGGACACTCGAGGACTTTGGCACTCCGCGGCCCGTCCCCGCCGTCCGCGCCCTGCTCCTCGTGCGCCGCCGCGGGGCGAGCCCTCGCCCTGCCCGCCGACCTGCCCGCCGCCTTCGGCCCGGGAGGCCCCGAGGGCGGAGGCATCGCCCGGGCGCCGAAGCACGGGGGGCGGGGGGGGGGGGGCGGGCGGGCCTGCAGGCACCGGGCTCGAGCCAGACAGTCGGGCACCAGCCGGCGGCGGCAGCCGCGGCGGCAGCCGCGGAGTGTGCGGTGGCTGCTGGTGGCGCGGGTGGCGACTGCGTCGGAGGCGCCCGGCATCACCCGGGAGGCCCTCAAGAGGCGCCCCCCCGAGGGACCAGAAAGGCTTCCAGAGGCTCCTCCGAGACATCAAAGACGCTCCAAGAGGCCCCAAGAACCACCAAGACCACTTCTCCTCCGCCTCCTCCTCCTCCTCCTCCTCCTCCTCCTCCTCCTCCTCCTCTCACTTTCGGGGCAATATGATCTCATGTTTTTCTAAACCCGTTCGAAAAAACATTGGGAGCATGGCGGTGCAGGAGCCCCTCCCCGATGACATAGACGTGGCAGGTCAACATTTGTCGACGAGCCCCGCCATCGCTTCGCGCTAGTTTTGACAGGGACGGCGGGGGGGAGGGACATATCGCCTGCTGGCAGCAAGCAAAACGACTGCGAAGTGCACGTCGCACCAACATCTGGATCAGGCGCGGGCACCCCGCGATTACTTTTTTCAGTGGTTTTTGATAGGGGCGGCGGGGGGGGCAGGTGGCATACGGCCCGGTGCGTGCCGACGCACGATTCCTCTCAACGGAAAACAACTGCACTCTGCTGGGGACGAGGTGGGGGTGGGCAGCACACTGCCTGCTGCGTGCAGGCCCATCATCCCTGTCAAAAGCAAGTCCAAAGTGACTGCGAGCGCGCGCACACACACACACACACCCACACACACACACACACACACGCACGCACGCACGCACGCACGCACGCACGCACGCACGCACGCACGCACGCACGCACGCACGCACGCACGCACGCACGCACGCACGCACGCACACACACACACACACACACACACACACACACACACACACACACACACACACACACACACACACACACAAACACACACACACACACACACACACACGCACGCACGCACGCACGCACGCACACACGCACACACGAAGCACAACGCTGGCAACCCCGCCGGCACTTTGCCTTGGTCTTTGACAGAGGTGCTGGGGGTCGACATCATGCCCAATGTGGCGCACCTGGTGCGCGTGGCGCACCTGGCACGTGCGACGCACCTCGCGGATGTCGGGTGGGAATGAGCGAGAAAGCTTGCGGCGTCCCCGCTGGGAACTGGAACCCTCCTCCTTCACCCCCCCCCTGGGTCTGGACGGGGCAGGGTCGCGGGCCGCGGGTAGCTAGAGAGTCCAAGATGGGCCCAGATGGCTTCAAGAGGGCCTAAGAGAGGCCAAGATGGCCTCCAAGCTGATTCAAGATAGCGCTGGATCGCTCAACATGGCTTCCAGCATGCTCCACGAGGTCCCAAAACCACTCCAAGACGGGTCCAAGCGTCCTTGGGGGCTCCCCAGGACCACCCCAGGAGGCCAACACCCGTCCAACACTAAAGAAAGATCAATCATATACAGCTGCGGCAGGCACAGTGTGGTGATGATACTACCACGTCCAGAGACATGCAATAAATGGCTGTGCCACCTCCCTGCTCTAGGGAAAAAAACATGACGCCCGGATCCCGATCCGTTCACATTGGCTTTCTCGCCCTTTCGCTTCCGATGGCCTTCCGAGGCCCCAAGATGGCTCCAAGAGGGCCCAAACCAGGAGGGACCCAGGAGGGCTCCAAGATGGCCCGAAGAGCGTCTAAGAGCGCGGCCAGAGAGTCCCTATAGACGGTTTGAGGGGCTCTCGAGGGGCGACGCTGATTCAGCACCCTCCTTCTTTGATCGATGTCCTCCAAAATGGTCCCAAGAGGCCTGAAGGCCCACAAGAGGCCTCCAAGAGGCACCTAAGGCGCCCCCAGGAGTCCCCAAGAGGCCCCCAAGACGCCCTAAGAGGCCACCAAGAGCCCCCAAGGAGACGCCACACGCCACTCTGAGAAGCATCTAAGGGGCCTCTAGTTCACTGATCACCCCCGGCAATACAACGCTGGACCCTGGTCGCAGCAGGCTTGAATAATAAAAATAAATCGCGAAACACTCAACCTTCCCTCAGCCGTGACGAATGAAAAACCTGACTAACACTAACTCACCCCCCTGGAACGATAAATAACGATTCCAACGGCGCCACACGAGGGGGGTTTCTCGAACAATAACAACCCAACTTCAAACACAACACCCCACCTCGGCGATGAATAAAGCTTTTGACGTATTGAAAATCATCTTATGAGCAAATCACTCTGGCTTGGCACGACACAAGTCGTTGGACAGGGGCCCAAACCACCCCCAGAGGCCATAATATTCCCGAAAGGCCCCCCACATGCCCCCAAGATGGCCCCATAAGGCCCCCAGAAGCCCCCCAAAGGGCCCAAAAAGGCTCCCGACATGGCCCCATAAGGCCCCAAGAAGCCCACCATAAGGCCCCCATAAGCATGCATACAAGACCCGAAAGCCCCCAAGAGCGTCTTGGAAACCATTGAAGCCATATGGCGCCTTCTTGGGGGAATATCGCGGCCCCTTGGGGCCATCATGGGGCCTCCAAGGCCGCACTTCGAAGATTTTGATGTTCTTTTCTGGCCGTTTTGGAGCCCCCCCGGCCCCCGCTTCCACGATTCACGGGGCCTACCGAAACTGTGGGTTTTCGAATCTCCCCTGAATAGTGGAACCCCCAAAAAAGCAAATTTTCTGGACGTCCCTCCGGGCGGGCCGGAGGTGGCTCTCTCGTGCGCAGGCCAATAAAAACAAGCCGCGGCGACGCGCCAAAAAGTGTTCAAAACAAGGGGCGGAAGCGGCGGGTCCCCCGAAATCTTAAAAGATTGCGATTTCCGCATATTTCCATTACTTTTTCTGGAATAATTTTGGGGGCCTCCTGGCTCTTGGGCGCTCTTGGGGGCCTCTTGGGAGCCTCTTGAGCCGCTCTTGGGAGCCTCTTTGGGGTCTCTTGGGCCTCTTGGGGGCCTCTTGGGAGCCTTTTGGGGGCCTCTTGGGGGCCACCAAAAGCTCCCAGAGGGGTCAAAGAAAAAACAAAAAATCTTGGGGCTCTCTTGGGGGCCTCTTGGGGTGCTCGGCCTTTGGGGGCCTCCAGGGGCCGCTTGGAACCGTACGAGCAGCAGCAGCAGCAGCATGGAGCAGCAGCAGCATGCAGCAGCAGCAGCAGCAGCAGCAGCAGCAGCAGCAGAAGCCGACAGCTGACAAATCGCGCGCAGGCAGACCCCCCACTTGGGAGAAATGACGGGGGGTCCGATCGAAATTAACCCCCCTGGAACGATGAATAACGGCGGAAACGCTCCACCACTAACACCCCCCCCCGTTGACGACTGAACCGGCTCGAATGCACTTACAGGGTCAACCCTACATAACCAGGGGTGATGTTCACTGAGGCTCCCGACGTATCCGAATGATGCCACGCTCCCCCAATAAGGGCAGCTCCCCTGGGCATTGTTCCTAGATGGGCTGGTGGGGGTACGCGAAGTGTTACTATGACTTCGGACAAATCGTACATAACGCAAGATCACAATCATCATGCCTGGATGCACTCGAATACAGCAACGACATGAAGGTAAAAACGAAAACTGCTCCAACCATGCGTGGCGCGCACGCCGTGAAACTGTCACGCAAGCGGCACTGTCTCTTCTACTGGTGAAGAAAGGGGTCAGATTTTCGCTGGCCGTTACGAAGCGCTGTTGGGCATGATGGTCCGCCTTTGATGGTGATCGCATGTGGCGGTGGCGGCAACAAGATGGGAATGGCATGCAATCACATGACATGTCAGCTTACCGTGCGTCGTAAACATGATAACGCAAGTTGGTGCAGTATTTCAGAAAGGCAATGATGGCACACATACTTGCTGAGATACGAGTGCGCATGATAATGCGTGCACGGTGTGCCAACTTGACTTGCGTGTGTTCGGGATCGAGAGTCAGACCCAGAAGAGGGGAGCTCTGCAGACTCTGCCAAACACGTCCTGGTCGCAGGCTCGATCTCCTACCGTCCTGTGGCGCGATGCTCGGTTTTGTGGGGGCTCCGAGTCACCTGGCGCCAGGCTGTATGGCCTCATGGGTCTCCGCGAGCTCCTCTGCTGCGCCAGCGCCCTCAGACTTGGGATCGTCGCTCAGCCACTCCGCCTCCGTCCACCTGAAGCTGACCCATGGCCTCGTCAGAAGCGCCCCCCCCCCCCCAGGTCCAGCCGATGCGATGCATGGACCCGACCTCGACCCAGCCAGCGGATAGTGCCCACCCGATTCAGCCAATGGCCGCCAAAGCGTCACTCACGCCCTGAACAATTGAGCCGGGCGGAGGAGGAGGAGGAGGGGGAGGAGGAGGGGGACCTGAGGAGGAGGAGGAGGAGGGAACGGGATGAGGAGTGGGAAGGGAAGGGGACGGAGGATGAGAAAGAGGAGAAGGAGGAGGAGGAGGAGGAGGAGGAGTAGGAGGAGGAGGAGATGAGATGAGATGAGATGAGATGAGCCGGAGGATCTGGAGCGATCGCTAGACCTGGGGCTTCCTAGGCCGGAGGCAGGCTCCAGTCATAGATCTCCTCGGCGGTGGGCGGCGGAGGCGAGGGGGCCAGCTGCACCTCTGAGGCTCGGCGGGAAGACACCACGGCACGCTCGCAGCAACCGAGGTCGGAGATCGACTGCAGCATTGCTTTACCTCAGGACTGTTATTTCCCGTCGGGCCTGCGAAACACGCGCAGAATGCTCAGTGTTTCTTAGATTCGGCGGGGTATGACAAGGTTGGGGTACATTAATTCTATCATCGATCCCCTACCCGAAACAACCGTGTTTGCACGTGTGTGTCGCTTGGTCTTGCTCCCTCATGCGACTCCCCGCCCCCGCCTCCACCGCCGAGATCCGCCTCCCACTCACCCGCCGCCTCCTCCCACATCCTCCTCTCCCCGCTTCCCGCTCTCCTCGTCCTCGCAGTCCTCCCGTGACTCCCCTCTGCGCCTCCCTCGTTGTCATCCCCCTCCCTCTCCGTCTCCGTCCTCTCCTCCTCCTCCTCCTCCTCCTCCTCCTCCTCCTCCTCCTCCTCCTCCTCCCCTTTTTCTCCTCCTCCTCTCCTCCTCCTCCTCCTCCTCCTCCTCCTCCTCCTCCTCCCGCCCTTCCTCCTCTTCCTCGTGCCCCGCGCGGGAGCCGCGCGCCGTGCCCTGGTATATCAACGGCGCTTCCCCCCCTCAAGGGCACGCTGCCAAGGAGCCTCTTGGATGCTTGCCGGGTGAGGTGCCGCTGGCCACCGCTTGCTCGGCACCCGCAGTCTGGCGTCTTTCGCCCTTCTGTAGACGCAGGGCCGACGCATGCTAAGAGGCAGCCTCCTTCTAAGAGGTCCCCCCCCTGCGCCCGCCGCCAAGGCAGGGCGGGGGGCGTGGCGCCCTGCGCACACCGCGTGGCCACCGCCAGATCAAGGTCCCCCATCGCCAGACAAAGAGCTGTTCGAACGCGGCCGCATCATCGCCGTGTCGCGACGCCAGGCACCTGCTCATGGCGTCAGCTGCGCCCGCAGCACTGGCTTTGGGACCGGGCGCGGGGGTTGCGCACCTGGTTGAGAGGTGGGGCCATGTGGTCTGTACATCCCATGAGGCCTTCTGTCCACTCACCCTGGGGAACAAGCCCAGTTGCCCATGCTAGTCGATTCGGCAGGGTTGGCCGTGGATTGGGGCCCAGCACCCTACGCCGTCTCGCCTGGGCAGCGAGTCATCGGCGACGAGGTCACCTCAGTGTTCCCTGACAAACTTGTTTGATTTGGTGTATGCCGCGGTGTGGCTTTCACATGCTCGCACATGCTCCTCCTCTTCCTCATCCACCCTCTATCCCATCATCTTCGCCCGTCAGCTTATCCTCCCCCTCTGGGTTCCTCCTCCTTCTCCACCTCTCCCTCCTACCTCTTCTTGTTCCTCTTCTTCGTTCCTTCCTCCTCCTCCTCCTTCTCCTGCTGCTGCTGCTCCTCCTCCAACTCTCCCGTCTCCTCCACCATCCTACTCCTCATCCTGCTCCACCTCTGTACCTCCTCCACCCCTCTTCCCTCCCCCTCCCCCTCCCCCTCCTCCCCCATCACCCAGGGGACGGACGCCTCACCACTCCAGAGGGGCTCGAGAATGAGGGGCGCGGCATTTTGAGAAGGCCAGCGACCTCGCAGAAAGACCCGGCCCTTCCATATCCGCACGCCGAACGCCTCTTGGAAGGCGGAGGTGACCATGGGGAAACCAAAAGGCACCGATGCCGCTACAGTCAACCAGCATAGTAAGGATGCACGATAAGGATGCAAGGGCCTTGGACGCCCAGTTCCAAGCTTTTCGAGCGGGGCGCGGCCGGCGAAAGCGGCGAAGGATGGACCGAGGAGGCAAGGATGCAAGGGTACCCTTGGGAAGGTTGCCCATCCTTACTGTGCGGGTTGACTGTACTCCCCGGACCTCTCCCGGGGTGCGCTCTGACCAGGATTTCGAAGCGAATCCAGCGGTGGCGACGAGGGCCTCCCTGAAGGCCCAAAAGGAAGCAAACGAGGGAAACGCAGCGGTGTGGGTACCGCTCCTTCGCCGAGACGACCCTCGCCGTGTCCCCGACGAGAACCCGCTCAAAACCTTCCCGGCACCCTTCGGAGGAAAGCAGGAGACTCCGGGCCCATCCCGCTGCTGACCCTCCTCACCTCTTCCCTGGTCCCAGGCCTCCAGCGAGTTGAGTTGTTTCTGAACCCGTCCGTGTTCTTATTCGGCGTTTCGGCGGCTCAATGCTGAAGGGGCCCCAGGACACACAAATAAATACACACAAATAAAAATGTTCCCCTATATTTTCCCGTATTTTCTGGGTTTTTGTCTTCCCCCCCACTTCCCATATTTTCCCATATTTTCTCGGGAATCGACGATTAATTGTCTGTGTGTTTCTTTTCCTCCTGAAAAGCGACTGTTTGCAACAGCGCGTCCTGTGGGGGAGACTCCACCTGCTCGAAGCAGGCGCCACGAACGGCCAAGGTCTGCTCCATGGGGGGGGGAGAGGGAGGTGCGAGGGCCCGTGCCGATCGGCAAAACAATGAACAGGAAGAAAAAGCAGGAAGACCCCAGCCCATCCTGCCGCCGACACTCCCCACTTTTTCCCTGGCTCCAGGCCTCCAACGGGTTGAGTTGTTTGTGAACCAGTCGGCCCAAGCGAGCGCTCGATCTCTCTCTCTCTCTCTCTCCACAGGCCGCCGGCGGTTCGTCCCAGATCCTCCCCTGATGGTCGCACTACTCGGGGGCGCAACCACGGGCCGAACCAGTTCGAAGAAGAAACGCCTGCATCTGCATAAACACGCAAATGTTTGGATCTCAGCGCGGATTTCTTGGATCGGCACTGGGCCCTCCCTGGCGACGACTCCGCGCGCCAGGGAGGGGGGGTCCAGCGCCGACCCGAGACACCCGCGCGGGCCTCCACAAGTGCATGCTTATGCCATTGCTCTCTTCAAGCAGTGGGGAAGCGTCGGGCTGAAACGCCCCATCCTGAGCATCATTTAACCGATCCCTATCGACACTGGCTTGGCCTGGGCCCCACTGGCCGATCTCCCCCCCTAGATGGGGATATAAGCTGTTCCCTTCGGGTCTCGAGGGGCATATCCGCAACTGGGGTGGTGGGATGGAGGGGATCGGGGCGGGGATGCGAGAAAGAGAATCATCGTGCTGGGAGAAGGAGGCTGGGAAGATATAGGGCACGACTGTGTAAGAAGCCAACTCAACATACGCGACAATACGAAACGCGGCAATTCGGATGCTCTGACCATTTCTCCCAGTCCCATGCTCCCAACCCGATAGTTGCATTTCTGAGGATGGGGATTGGGAGAAGGGGGACACCACCAAGTGCTCATACCGCTACTCCCCGAACCTCTCCCGGGGTGCGCTCTGACCAGGACTCCGAGGCGCATCCAGCGGCGGCGACGAGGGCCTCCCAGGAGGCCCCAGAGAGGGGAGAACGGGCGGAGGGCAGCGGCCTGGGCATATACCTCTCCCTCCTCCGAGGAGAGGGCCCTCGGGCAAAAGAGATCCCGACGTCCGCTGGAGGTGCGCAGCTCCCGCCCCGCCCAGGCACCCCCAGCGCCGACCAGGGCCGCGGCTCGTGGGGCGCCGCCGGCGCCGGCGGTCGCTGGGGCACCGGCGTCATCCACGGAACCATCGGCGGGGCAGCCTTCGCCACGAGCCAGAGGGCAGGAGAACGGTGCCCGTGCACCGTGCCATGCTGATGTCGGCGGCGAGCGAGGGGGGGGGAAGCGGGAGGGAGAAGGCCCTCTCAGGGGGCGGCGGGGTTCTCAGAAGCCCTCGCAGCTTCTGAGAGAGTTTCTGCGTCTTCTGGGGAGGCTCAGGAAACTTCTCAGAAGGCTGGGGGACGTCCAAGCCTTCTGAGATGGCCCGCCCCTTCTCACTTCCCCCTGGACTCGCCGCCGAACCATGCTGATGATGATGACGATGGTGGTGATGATGATGGTGGTGATGATGATGGTGGTGATGGTGATGGTGACGGTGATGGTGATCATGATGGTGGTGATGGTGCTGGTGCTGGTGCTGGTGATATTGTTGTTGATCATAGTATTGATGATGCTTATGACGACAGTGAAGACAATGATGATGATGCTGATTCTGATAATGCTGGTGATGATGATGATGATGATGATGATGGTGATGGTGATGATGATGGTGATGGTGATGATGGTGGTGACGATGATAGTTATGATGGTTCTGATGATGATGATGATGATGATGATGATGACGATGATGATGTTGATAGTGGTGGTGCTGCTGTTGTTGATGATGTTGGTGGTGGTGATGATATTGATGATGATGATGACGATAACGATGGCGATGACGACGATGACGATGCTAATGATGCCGAGTATGCTGCTGATAATGATGCTGATGATGCTGCGGAGTATGCTGCTGATAATGATGCTGATGATGCTGATGATGCTGATGCTGATTCTGATGCTGATGCTGATGCTGATGCTGATGCTGATGATGATGATGATGATGATGATGATGATGATGATGATGATGGCGATGATCGAGAGCTCTTCGCCCACCTCGCGGCGCAGCCTTCCCCCGACCAGGGACGGCAGCCGCGCGGGCAACATGGAACAGCATGGGAGCTGCACGCGAGCAAGAGAGTACGGGAACAGTACCCATGCTCCGTGCCATGCTCGGACTTTCTTCAGGCCTTGCTCCAACGCGACACGGTGCCTCGTTTTCCTGGGTCGAAGATCGACGACAACTCGGGAGACGCCAACGCGGTACGGTGCACGCAGGTCGTCCACGGAGAGAGGGGACCCTGAGGGAACGGTGTCCCCAAGTTCTTCCACGGCCTCGGCATCTCGGGGCCCCGAGACAGTCGAACGGCGACTCTGGGTGAAAGTGTGGCTCAAGGAAGCCCTGGAGTGTGCACAACATCTTGTCGTGTATCGTCTCCCCAGCGGTATGGCCAGAAAGTGCTCGCCACGAAGTCTCCCCAGCGGTATGGCCAGAAAGTGCTCGCCACGAAGCTTATAATGTAGGATTTCCGAACATTGGGGTCGCCCCTGCGTGGCCGACGCGCATCTAGTATAAGTACATTTGGGCGGTGTCATGGAAGGGGGCCCTGAGGGAACGGAGCCCCGAAGTTCTTCCCCAGCCTCGGCATCTCAGGGCCACGAGGCATTCGAACGCGACTCTGGGTGAAAGGGCGGCTCAAGGAAGCCCCGGGGTGTCTCATATGGGCGAAACCAATGTAAGACGCACGGGGCCACACTACTGCGATGTGCCTCTGTTGGGCACCCACGTCCGACCCGAACATATAGCACAACATCTTGTAGTGTGCTCTGCGTGAGTACCGTACCTCGATAGTTCTGGGCCCCAGGACTACAGGGGCCCCACAGAGTACAAACAAGAGCCCCCCCCGGACTGCAAGGGCCCCAGGGCCCCCCCCCCCGCCGACTACTACAGGGACCCCACCCCAGACTACAAGGATTCCCCCCCGGACTACAAGGGCCCCCCCCCGGGACTACGGGAACCCATCCCCGGACTACAGCGGACGTCGCCCCGCGAAGATCACAATGTCCCCCCCCCGAACTTCCAGGCCCCCCCCAGACGATATGGCACCCGCCGGACTACAAGGGCCCCCAGAACCCCACCCCGGACTAACAGGCCCCCCCCCCCCCTGGACTACGGCCCCCCCAGAACTATTGCGGTTCTGAGTGTATCGTCTCCCCAGCGGTATGTTCAGAAAGCGCCCGCCACGGAGCTTCTACTGTGAGACTTCCGAGCGCTGGGGTCGCCCTTGTGCGGCCGACGTACATCTAATACCAAGTATGCTCGGACGGCGCCGAGAGAGGGGACCCTGAGGGAACGGTGTCCCGAAGCTCTTCCCCAGTCTCGGCACCTCGGGGCCCCGCCAGGGCCCCGAGACGATCGAACGACGACGTCTGGGCGGAAGGGCGGCTCAAGGAAGCCCCCGGGTGCCCCCTGGGGCAGAGCACATGCCCACATCCACGGCCTCGCGGCCTGGACCTCCTCGGCGGCGATCCCATGGCCACCGAGCGGCTGCGCGGGGGACTGCGCATCCGGGGCTTTGCGCCCTGGCCTCGCGAGCGCGAGGGCATGCGTGGACATGGGCACACGCTCGTCGCCCCGTGGGCGCCCAGGACGCACCTCCCTCGGGACACCCCTGGCTCGTGGCGACCTTCGTGGGCAGCGCTGGGGCCGCCGCCGCCGCCTCGGGGATGATGGGCCCAAGCCCGGCGCCGGCTAGCCGCTTGAGGTGCCGCGTGGAGGACAAGTGCGACATGTCAGACCAGGCGCTGCACCCAGTGCAGTAGGGCCTCGGAGCATCCCCGCCCACCCGCACGGTGCCCGGGCTAGTCCGGGATCAGACCGGCCCCGATCGCCATCAGCTCATCCCCCTCCTCGCCCTCCCGATCCTCCTCCCGCTCCTCCTCCTCCTTCCACTTCCTTTTCTCCCCCGCTTTCTGCCACCAGTCACCAGTCCGCCTGCTCCTCGCTCCCAATATCGAACTCTTTCTCGGTCCTCTTGGTGGTGTTGGTGAGGTGTCGCTGTTCTTCGGCGCCCTGCTCGACAACATCTCTGGCTGTGGAAAAGTGACCCTGCTGGGGGGGTGGCCCTGCTGATGGTGCTGGTGTCGCGTTGCGGTTCTCTGGCCGCTCGTTGGATCGGGGTCTTCCGGGATCCGTCTCGGACTACAGCGGTGTGACAACAGCTCCTCGGATTTCTGTCACTTCGCCCGATTGCATACACTGCACGGTCACCCCGCGACAGTGGTTCCGAGGGTGGCGATGGTTGAGGAGGCACCCCCCCTCCCGCCCCCGTGGAAGCCTAGCAAGACACCCGTCTTGCGTTGTTTGGGCGGAACCCCGCCTCCCTTTATGCATTCGAATGATACTGTTTTATAATGCAGGAGCAGATATCAAACCCATACACATTACAGCCAGAGCCCAGAGCCCAATATCCCCTATCAGAGTGTTCGCGCGTATTCCTGCTCCTGATCCGCCTGCGCATTCGGCGTCGTCGTCGAGCTTTTCGTCATCGTCGTCCTCCTCTTCGCAACCACGTCGTTCTCCTTCTCGCCCTCGCCCTCTCCCCTTCCACTGCACCTTTTCCTCATCATCCCCCTTATGTCTTCTTCACGCTCCTCATCCTCCTTCTCCTCCTCCTTCTCCTCCTCCTCCTCCTCATCATCAACATCCTTGTACGACTCCTCATCATCCTCCTGGTGGTTTTCCTCCTCCCCGTTGTCCTCCTCGTCCTCCTCTTCATTA